ACTTTTCTCTGCTATGCCACTGCTTTGTATATTAAAAATTAATTAAATTATTGAATTGAGAATGTATAAAATTTCATTTTTAGGTTACAAATTTGTTCTTGTATTTGAAATAGATTATGAGATTGGAGGACAAAAACTGGGAAAGGAATCCCCGTGAAACAAAGTCTACTAACAGTTCTTCATCTAAATACATAGCATTTGGAAAACCGACAACTTAAAATTTTGATGTTGTACTAAATATTAGCACTTAAAGGCATGTTTATAAAGATGTTTTATAATCTTTAACAAAGAAAGACACCACAGTGAAAGTGACTTTGCTAGCATTTTGTTTAGATGAGAATTGATGCTTAGTTCATTTTCTGTCTCTGATGGAAGAGTTCAAGAACATTTCCCAGTTGGAACACGTTAGATCATGTACTGCTTCAACCTGACTTTCTTACACATGTCGATCTTAGTTGCTAAGAAGCAATCTTATACATGGCTCTGTTACTGTGCCAGTCACATTGGCCTAGTTTATGTCCACAGTAAATTACACATGGAGAGGAAAATTGAAGACAATGAATTTGAAGATGTTACTATCTAATTATGAAAGAATAAATTTCGCCTTGGCCATGATTCCCAATTGCCAAAATATGGGTTTAAAAGACAAATAATGCTTTCACATTTGAATATTGAAGAATGTAAAAACCAGTTAAAGTTCCATGCAGCTGACTTTAGCTTTTCATATTGATCAGATGGAAATAGGCTTGTATTTGTTATATCCGCCACTATCTTGTAGACTTACTATTACCAAGAGTGAAAATTCAGTTATTTGTCTGGTGAAACATATTTTTATTCTTTTAAATAAATAATACTTATGAAAAAGTAAACAACATGCAAAAGTAACATCCATGTGTAGTTCTTATTGATCTGAGTAGATAAATCTAAGTGAGTTTGCTCAATTCTTTCAATTAGCTTTAATAAATACATGATTCTCATAATTTTGGTTACTGCTGAATAAAATTGACATACACCATTCATTTTGCATGTAGTCCATTTATCTTCTAAAATAAATGAATTAAAAATATAGACCTGGAAGTAGGCACTAAAGAGATGATGATACAACATCATTCTATACACATGCTAATCATGGCAATTTACACATTTGCTGTATATATTTCCACCCTTGCTGACAGAGGTGGACAGTGGATACTGACATCATCAACTGATTTTTTTTTTCACTACAAATCATAAATGAGATGTAAAGAATTAGGTCAAATACAATCATGAAAAGAGGGAATATCATGTGGCCTTCCCTTTAAGCATACCATAGTTGTCATTCCTTTGGTATTACAGTCATGGTCATGTGAAATCAGCCCTGCTAGGGATGCTCAGAGATATCACATTTAGGCATAAAAAGAAAGTGTCAGTTACAAAGGGAACTGCAGCCTCCTTACTATGTATCCATTAGACCATGTTGTTTTTAAATATTCCCATTCGTTCTCCCAGCGATCTACATCTGAGGCCAGCCCACTTGTGGTTGGAAGCCTTAGGCAAGACTCTAGGGAGAGCATCGTAGTTAACCCTCAAGGGTTCAGAGAGCGGCTTTAGAACTCGGTCGAATTTCATCCTCAGCTCTAAAAATAAGATGATGTAAAGTATATTCTTCTTGACAATGGGCCAAAAATAACCTTGCAAATACAAAAGTAGTACATTATATTATTGTTTAAAGGCTTTTATCATTCAGGGCAAAAACTGAACAGCAAATCACAGAGTCGTATTTTCATATGTGTTAAAAAAAAGACAAGATGGTAGATGCAGTCACGTGATGCAAACAAAGCAAGACTTTGATCATAGAAGGGACTACAGGACTGTCATAAAGGAAAAATTTTATATTATATGGGATAAGAGCTCTTTGCTTGGAGAACCTGCAACTTTGAATCATGTAATCACTGAGAAAGACCAAAAGCTGTTGGACCATATCTTTGAAGTGGATATTGAAACCTACAAGATACCACATACAGTAATCCTTCAGGGAGCTGCTGGAATTGGGAAGACAACGTTGTTGAGAAAGGCAATGTTAGAATGGGCAAATGGCAATCTCTACCAGCAATTTACCTATGCTTTTTATCTCAGTGGGAGAGAAATTAGCCAAGTGAAAGAGAAAAGCTTTGCTCAGTTAATATCCAAGAATTGGCCTCGCTCTGAAGGCCCCATTGAACGGATCCTGTCCAAGCCCAGCAATCTCCTTTTTATAATTGATAGTTTTGATGAGCTGGACTTCTCCTTTGAAGAGCCAGAGTTTGCACTATGTAATGATTGGACCCAGAAGCAGCCAGTGTCCTTTCTTATTAGCAGTTTGCTGAGGAAAGTGATGCTTCCTGAGTCATTCTTATTGGTAACAGCAAGACCCACAGCTTGGAAGAGACTGAAGCCCTTGTTACATAAACCTCATTGTGTAAAGCTGCCAGGACTGTCTAAGAATGCAAGGATGGACTACATTCACCATTTGTTGAAAGATAAGACATGGGCTATGGATGGGATCTGTTCAATTAGAAAGAATGAGAGGCTTTTCAACATGTGCCATGTCAGCCATGTGTGCAAGGTGATTTGTACTTGTCTGAAGGAGCAAGTGAAGAATGGTGGCAATATTGCTGTGATCTGCCAAACCACCACAGCTCTGTTCACATGCTATATCTGCAGCTTATTTTCACAGATAGATTGGGGTGTTACTACTCTGCCCAATGAAACACTAGTGAGGAGCCTGTGCCAGGCAGCTGCTGAAGGCATTTGGACTATGAATCATATACTCTACAAGAAAAACCTCAGAAAGCATGAGTTAACTAGAGATGACATCTCCGTTTTCCTGCATGTGAAGGTTCTTCAGAAGGACACGGAGTATGGAAACTGCTTTGCGTTTACTCACCTCCATATTCAGGAGTTTTTTGCAGCTTTGTTCTACTTCTTAAGAGAGAATCCAGAAGAAAAAGACTATCCCATCAAACGGTTTGAAAACTTGCATCTGTTACTTGAAAGCAACTGTTTTCATGACCCTCATTTGGAACAGATGAAATGCTTTTTGTTCGGTCTACTGAATAAAGAACGAGTACGACAACTGGAGGAAACCTTCAAATTTACAATATCCATGGACGTAAAAGGGGAGTTACTTATGTGTTTGGAAGCATTAGAAAAGGGTGATTCTTATCTATCACAGCTGAGATTTATGGACTTGCTTCACTGTCTATATGAGACTCAAGATAAAGAATTTATAACTCAGGCACTGAGCTATTTCCCAAAGATTGTTGTGAAGGTTGATGAAGAAGCACAGTTGCATATATATTCATTCTGCCTTAAGCACTGCTACTCTCTACAAGCTATTAAACCGACTGCAATGGCAGAGTTAAAGACTATGTTGGACTTAAAACCCATAGCTAAAACTTGCTTCGACGATGCTATTGCTGGAATCATTCACTGCTGGAAAGATCTGTTTTCTGTGCTTCATAAAAATGAATCTCTGAAAGAAATGGATCTGTATGAAAGCAGACTTAATAAATCATTGATGAATATTTTAAGTGAAGAATTAAGTCATCCAAGGTGTAAACTACAAAAACTACTGTTTGGATCTGTCTGCTTCCTGAATAACTGTCAGGATTTTAGTTTTTTGACTACCTGCCATACCCTGACACATCTTGACCTGAAAAATGTTGACTTAGAAGACAATGGGTTAGAGAGCTTATGCCAAAACTTGATATCCCAACGATGTAAATTACGGGTGCTGAGGCTGGAATCCTGTGACCTGAATGTATACCGTTGTCTAAAACTAGCAGAGGCTCTCAAGAGCAACAAGAGCCTGGTATTTCTGAATCTGTCCACCAACAATCTGTCAAATGACGGAGTGAAGTCATTGTGTCAGACTTTAGAAAACCCCAACTGTCACCTAGAGAGACTGTCCTTAGCAAGCTGTGGCATCACAAAAGCTGTGTGTGAGGCTCTTTCCTTGGCTATCACCAAAAGCAAGAGACTGACACACTTACGTTTGGCAGACAACATCTTGGAAGATGAAGGGATAGGGCTTCTCAGTGATGCCTTGAGATATCCACAGTGTACTCTCCAGAGCCTTGTGTTGAGGTGTTGCTGTGTGACGTCAGTTGGTAGTAAGTTTCTCTCCGATGCTCTTCTGAACAACAGGAGTTTGATACATCTGGACCTGGGATCAAACAAGCTTCAGGACAGTGGGATCAAGCTTTTGTGTCACATCCTTCAGCAGCCAACCTGCACTATTCAGGAGTTGGAGCTGATGGGCTGTATTCTCACCAGTGACAGTTGTCTGGATCTGGCTCCTGTTATTGTGAATAACCCAAACCTGTGGAGCCTAGACCTTGGGAACAACAACTTAGAGGATGCTGGCCTGCATATTTTGTGTGAAGCTTTAAAAGATCCAAGCTGCCACATTCAGAGGCTAGGACTGGAAAACTGTGGATTAACCCCCGTTTGCTGTCAGGATCTCTTAAGTCTTTTTTCTGACAACCAAAGTTTGATACAAATGAACTTAATGAAGAATGCTCTCAATTATGACACAATTAAGAATTTATGTACAGTCTTGAGGTCTCCAACATGCAAAATAAAATTTTTAGCGTTGGACAACAAGGAAATTCTTGGAGAGAAAATCAAGAAATTTGTGTACGATGTAAGAACTAACAACCCACAATTGGTGATTAAGCCACACTATTACAACACAGAAAGTGAGTGCTGGTGGAAGTATTTCTGAAGAACCTGATGTGCCTTTAAAAATTAAAAAACATCTTCAATGGCATGGTCTTTAACATATATGAAATACTTGCCTATATCCAGAGATACTGAATTGCATTTCCAGTAGGGATAGGTTACACACTTCTCTGTAAAATGTTTGTTGTATTTCACACAGGTGTTGAGAAAATAAAGCAAAACCCACAAAAAAAAAAAAGAAAAAAAAAAAGAAAAAAAAAAAGAAAAAAAAAAAGACAAGATGGCCAAGAAATGGGTCATTTGGTACAATAGATTTTTTTTTTAGAGAGTTGACCGCAGTGCAGATATATTTCACTGGTATTTCTTCTTCCTTTTGCATTTCTGGTGTTTCTGGCTCCCTTCATTCCCTCTCTTGTCTTCTGAGCTACTGTCGGTGTCGCTGGCTTGCCTTTCCCTCTTTCGTTTGTTCCTCTGATAAAGGTCAGGGTCACTTGGTTGCTGGTGAGTCCACTCGTAGGAGCTGGGTCCAGCCTCGAGGTTTAAGGAGTGCGATCCAGATGCACTGTTGGGAAGGGACGCTGTCATGTCGTAGAAGGGAGGCTGCAACATTGGACTGTGCGTGTGCCAGTGCTGTGAAGAGAAGACAGGCGTGAACACACACTCAAAATGCAGAGAGAAAGGTAACAACTCCCAGGCCCTTGCAGACAGCAGTCGTGGGCCGAGCTGGACCTGGGTGCGGCGACTGTATTGTACAGGGGTTGTGGGCATTGCTTCATCTGGGTAACAGGAAGCGGAAAGATCAAAGGTGCCACATAGTTGACTGCCGCATGGATTAGCAGTGTCCAGAAGAAATAGTATGCAAAAATACATAGGTAGTTTGCAAACACAATATAAACGGAAAAAATAAATAGATAAAACAGTTTATGTATTTCTCCCAAATCATATTCAGACGATAGTCATTTAACACCTTTACCAGTTAAGGAGTTTTTTGTTTTGTTTTGTTTTGTTTTGTTTTTTTCCAGAGCTGGAATATTGTGCCCAGGGCCTTGCTCTTGCTACGCAGGCACTCTACCACCGAGGTACATCCCCAGGGAGATAAGTCTGCTTTTATTTTCAGGGGGGAGCCTTCTCAAATATTCACAGTTTATCCTACTTGGAAGCGAAACCATCACTGAAGTTATTTGATTTGATGTAGACTTACATAAAATTTCTAACAGAAAAATTTCTAACTACCACGTTCCATTTTCTTAAAATATACACAGAAACTTCCCACTATGTGGTACACATAATGATTTTAAATTTGAATGAAAATTAAAAGCGGCTTAGGCGCAAATGAAGCTGAGAGTTCCCACGTTGTAAAAAGACACAGCTGTCACTTTTTTAGGTCAAGAAATGCTTCTTGTGTTTTAACAGATTAGCTGGAATTTCTGACTATTCTAATCAGAGGATAGGATTACCATGAGACAATCTTCCCACGCAAGCTCAGCTGGAACAAAAGATAAAAGATCCTGGGAGACTTTAAGAGTCAGGTGAGACTTCCTTGCCGATATGTATTAGCCATCATTTAGGAAAGTTTTCTCCAAAAGTGAAAGCATCATTTTCCAGGAAATTTCCTAACTGCTTACTAATTGAAAATGGATGTTAAAAAAAAAAAACCTAAAGCACACATATATATGTTAGGTATTCATAACAGCTTCTGAATAAAAACAAACAGAAACAAAACAACAAATTTAAGTCTCATACCTGTCACTAATAAACCTGTGGTTTGCGGAGTAATATCCCAGAACTTACATTATTTTACTTATAAAACAAAGAGTTGCGAGGAAAATATTCTAAAATCAAAAACCACGATTAAGATTTCTAGGCTACAGCCAAACTATGGAGACCTTTAAATGGCAGTTCCTTCTAGTAACTGAGAACTTTTTTTTATTTATTTATTTATTTATTTATTTATTTATTTTTCCATCACAGGCAATTTATTTTGTTCTATTCATTCACAGTTAATACAGAAAATACTTGGAAACATTTCCATATAATATTTGAAACTGAGAACTTTTAAGTGGCTTTTTAGACAAAAAATACTTAAATGTGATTGACGGCCACACATACGAATATTACACACTGGGAGAAAATCTCCGTTCCTAAGAACATCTTCGTCAATGGTCACTCTCTGGGGATGTGGGATTCAAGGGTTACTTGGTTACTGCTGTCATTGCTATCAACTGTCTGTTACAGCTGAGCACTGAAGTCTTCAGCACAGGATTTCTCATGACCATGTCTGAGCATGCGCTGGGCCATAGTCTGCACTGATGCCAGGTTCAGATTTCAACATCAAATATTAAGGATGGTGTTTGTAATTGTACACTGAAACAAATGCATTTCACACGTACCGTTTTCTGAAAGAAAAAATATTCTTGAGGTAAAGCAGCATTTGAAATTGGGAAAAAGTGCATGGGAAACGAAGATCTGCCCAGCATTTCTTCATTCCTTTGCAAAAGAAGAGAAACAAGGACATCTTAAAACTTCCAAGGTACAAAGGTCATTTTCTCATGGAAAAAAAAAAATGATAGCCTTATGTAAGTAGAAGAGAAGAGTTTTCTGGTAGCCTTTAAGAATAAATGCTTGGAACATATACACATAATGTATTATTTCACTGATGATGTAATGACATGGTATTACATTAATTTCTTAGTTATAAAGTATTGAACCTACAATATTTAGAATCACATTTGGCTTTCTATCAGGAACATCTTAGATTATGTTATATTTGATAAAAGAAAACACTCAGATATGAACATAACAAAGCAAATGCCTTGCACTCACTAAGAGGACATCAGTTTTATATAGATAGAAAAGCAATGTGGAATTTCTACCCTTTAATTTTAAAGACATCTTTACAATTTAACTAAATGTTATGTGCCTTGACTTGTTGATGTCTGACAAATTAAGAGAATAAAGCCCATATTTATTCAAAAACATGCATTTGATTACCTGAAGCTGTGTGAGTTTATCTTAACACAGCTCTCAAAACTTTGGCTAGCTGGTTCAGAAGAGCGAGAACTACCTTTAATGAGACAGAAAATAAAAGAAAGAAGAAAATAAAATAGAGAAGAAACATTATTTCATGACACAATTACTTGGAGTTTGAACATTCTAGCATTAGGTCAAAAAGTCATCTAAAACCCCAAATCTGAACGATAGATCAGCATTTGAGAGACTGAGGCAGGAGGATCCAGAGTTACAGGTTAGCTTGAGATGTATATAGTGAGACCCTGTTATATAAAAACCAAACAAAGACAAATATAAAACTCTACCTTTTTAGCATTCAAAATTCTGTCCTAGTTAAGACATATGCACATAAAACTTATATCTAGATTCACATTTACAAATTTTCTACAGGATTATAAATGACTGAATGGAAACTGAACTGTGTCCAAAAGCCATGGACAGATATGAAGATTATTACACAGGCATGGGACTATGTGATATATACAATGTTGTTTTATTGCACATTACTATAAATTAAGAGTGGCACACTATCACTGACACTTGCTTCCCGAGTACAAAATATGAGTTCCCTAATCATGGACAAAAGCCAACTCAACTTTACACAAAATGCATCAGAACATAACACACCCAAAATTATTCTACCAATTGGTAGAGAGGTTGGGAGTGGGCAAAGAAAAAGGCAGAGGCAACTTTCCTTTTGCAAGAAGACATGGTTTTTGTTACTGTTGACTTTAGTAGATCAATAATACTAATACATCAATAAGCCAACACCATCCTGGGGAGGCCCCAGAGTTACATAGATACCCTCTATCAGCCCTTTCTCAGGCTGCAAACATTCTCTGTATTTCTTGTTCATAGATGACTATTTCATGATGTGTATAACAGATGTCTTTTAAATTTTAAATTCAGGCCCTAGCAATGTTCATGGAATGGTTTCCCAAGAAAGACTAATTGAGAAGGACTTTCTTCGAGATAACAGGTACTTGAGCATTGTCAACAAGGTAAAACAGCCTTGCTATATAAAATTTAGTTATTTGTTTTTAATTCGTGTAGATTTTCACTTTCACGTTGCTAGCAACCTTCATTGGTACTTCTTGCTTGGTTCTGAAATAGAACTTTAAAAGTTTTGATACAGAAGAGAGAAGTTTGGTTTGGTAATTTGGTAGGTAATAGCAATTAATTACACATTAAAAATTAGATATGTACCCATAACAACAGTGATGACAGAGATATTTTTTGTTGTCCTATATTATATAGAAAACAAAATGATTAAGCCCTTGAGAATAGTACCAACAAAAAAGCACATTTTGAAGACTGATGGGTGACAGAACTTACCAGATACTGCAAAAATTTGATAGTTCTGACAGAGAATTTTTTATTGTCCTACACCAGAGGTTCTTAACCTGTGGGTCAAGAACCCTTTGGGAGGTCACATATAAGATATCCTGCATATCAGATATTTACATTACAATTTATAACAGTAGCAAAACTACAGTTATGAAGTAGTAATGAAATAATTTTATGCTTGGGGGGGGGTCATCACAACATGAGGAGCTGTATTGAAGGGTCAGAGCATTTGGAAGGTTGAGAACCACTACCCTATATTATATAGAAAACAAAATGTTTATGCCCTGGAGCACAGCAGTAATAAAGCACACATTGAAGACTGATCAGGGACAGAACTTACCAAACCGATACTGCACATTAATTGGTCTTCCATACAAACGAATTCCATTTAGCAAAGCTATGGCATAAGACACAGATTCAGGATGCTTGAAGCAGACAAAACCAAAGGACTTCGGCTTTCCATCTCTATCTTTGCAAAGAGTCACTTTGGTTAGTGGCCCGGCCTGTAAGAAACTAAAATTATTTTCTCATAAATCCAAAGATTTTTGTTTTTACACTAAGATAAATTAAACAAATTCGAGTTTGACTACAGTCAAAGAACAGTCATAAATAACTCCACATATAATGCATCTTCCCAATAAACAACACAGCTACTTACTTACGCAACCTTTCTAGCTTATCAAAAACATTTATGGAAAAGGAACTTATAGGGTGTAGTTTAAATATTACAAAGAAAGAAAGGCAATCTTTATTTTCGGCTTTACAAATCAACTTAGAGAATATTTGAAGCTCAGGTTAAGACGGGACGACCTCTCTGCACATATTAGCCGTACTCAACTGAAAAGTAAATTGTAATGAGAAAAACCATGTTGTTTGAGCTGCCTGCTGTCAAGAAGGACGGCAACATGACAAGATGGACTCATTTTTCCTGCTAAGGAACTGCATAAGGTCCAGGGTGTTGGCTCAGTGGGGAAAAGTGCCACCACTTCAGTGTGAGGACTTGAGTTTGAGTCAGCAGAATGCAAATTGCCAGAATCTAGAGGACAAGCCAGCCTGGTGTATACAACAGAAAACAGGTCTCAAACAGAGGGGAAAATCAAGGACCAACTTAAGTGTTCTCTGACCTCCACAATCACGGACATGAATGCTTGTACACACATACACACACACACACACACACACACACACACACACACACACACACACGTGTGCGCTCAAATGTACACATACCTGCATATACTCCAGTGTTTCTAGGAGAAACTAAATCTATTATGCATTTCCATTCAGTAACACCGCTTCATAAATATGCCCAAAGGAAATCTATCTGATTATGTTTAAGATCTGGTAGACTAGGTAAGCTATTCAAAAGAGTGAACAATTTAAAAAGTGGCAACTAGAAATATTCCATGGTGACTTCTTAAAACAACATAGAGTACCACAAATTTTAAGTTTCAGAATGTGCAACTACAAAAACTGTAGTGGGTAAAACAAAGCAAGGAAACAAAGCTAAATATCAGAGAACAGTGTTAATCACATCTGAGGGAAAAATACATAAATTAATTATCTCCATCATTGTTGGTTATGTTCACAAGACTGGAACTGACTTAGAGCTGTATACTTTAATAATTATTTTTCTCTGCAGGCTTGGGTAAATATACACATAGTTGCCTTTTATCCATAAGAAGATACTGCCAGCCGGGCGGTGGTGGCGCACGCCTTTAATCCCAGCACTCGGGAGGCAGAGGCAGGTGGATCTCTGTGAGTTCGAGGCCAGTCTGGTCTCCAAAGCGAGTTCTAGGAAAGGCGCAAAGCTACGCAGAGAAACCCTGTCTCGAAGAAAAAAAAAAAAAAAGGTACTGCCATGCTTACAACAGTGCTGTACCTTGGATTTCAGTCTTTCTTCTCTGAATGCTTTGCTGGGGATTAGTTCATACTCCCTTTCTCTGAACAGGAGGAAGTTAGGGAAACGATTTCCCCATGGCTGCCTCTCTATGAAGACAGCTTCCTGAGATGCTGTGTCATGGAACTTCACACTCAATATATTTGAAACTGCAATCATTGTCTTTCTCCTACTCTAAATCCCTAATATTTCCTGGTAAGAAGGACAAAAATGTATTTGAATTTAAAAAAAGGATATTGAGAAATTTGAAATAGGTTATAAAAAAATTATATAGTAATAAAGGAATTATTCTGTGTTCTAGTTTTTATTTTCCTCTACTAACATTACAGTATGCAGTAGCATACAAAGACAAGATTTACTTCTAAACCTAATCCCAAACTCCTTATTTCCTGAGTGCTGGCAGCTGAGCCTAGAAGCTTGTTAATGCAGGGCAAATGCTAATCACTGACCCACACTCCCAGTTCCTCTATAATATTTTTAAAGGTAAAATTCAACTGGCTTTTCTGAAATCAATAATTACATAACTTTCTTTTAAAGTCAGAAGGAGACATTTTCAGGGCAGCTGAAATGGGGTTTTGCTCCTTGCTCCTATTTCTGATGTTACATCTTTCAGATGATCCTTTACATTAGCAGACTTTCCACAGGCAAAGTGAAAACATAGGTTTACTGCTCGACCCATTCAACAGGATCTAAATTTTAATCAAGGGGGAAAAGGAAGTCATAAAAGAAGTAAGGAGCTCCTATATATTGCCTGTCCTATGCACACAACTGCTGCGGACTTAGTTCTTCCTGACTAGATAGCTCAGGTGTCAGAGGACTTGCAATCCCACAAACCATCACTCCTCACCGTCTCCCTTGGAGGCTCAAGAGGAAAGCTTTCTGGAGAGCTAAGCTTACTCCTTTTCCCAACAGTGATTTTCAAACCCTATTGGGTCTTAAAATAATAATGTTTTTAGAGGGAAAACTTTAAAATGGCAATGGATAAAGATAAAAGTCTTAAATATATGATTTTAAATAATAAAAATGTTAATGTTTAAAAGGAGAGCTCTCTATGGGTAGCAAAGGCACGCTTTACTAGAATTTAGAGACAAAGTAAGTACTTTAAATATTATTTAAAACAAACAAACAAAAAATCCTTCCATAGCCAGTATCCAAACTTCATTCTCCATATGCATCTCTGTTATTGTGTCCCTGAGAATTTTCCCTTATTTTGAAAGTTCAAGTCACTTTTGATTTCTTTTTATTATTCTATTAGTAATAATATTATTAGTATTATTACCAATAACGATAGTCCTATTAGTAGCAGTCAACAGCACTGGCTGTAGCTGTTTTATTGAGCTAAGTTTATTTCTGGCAATTATATTACATTTCAGACACTATTACTCCCATTTGACATTATAGGGCACACAAACTGAGACTCAAATATTGACTAGCCCCCCAATCCCCCATCTCCCTCCGTCACACTGCTCAGCGCTCTGTCAACAGTTTTTGCATACTATTTACCTGTCTGCTTTGCAGATTGGCATAAATCATGGGAAACAGTTTGGATTTCCCCCCTTAAAGCCTCCTGTGGGCACTTGAGTTTGCTCCATCATTCTGAGTCATTAACCAACTAGGTGAGAGGCTGAAGACGCCCCTCTCTGGCAAGTGTGTTTACCAATTCTCATAAAGGCTCCCTAAGGAGCAGGACCAGGGAGCCCAGCAGTTAGTCATGGAGAATTGATTGCCTAGCATTTCAGTAATCACTTGTATGATTCTAGAATAAACTGCTCTCCCCATCAAAAGGCTTGGGACAAAGGGTAATGGCCAGGGACGGGTACCATTTTTTTTTTTTTTTTTTTCAGATTGGACGTAAGGGTGCTTACTACCCCATGAGGACAGGGACGGGGTCGTATTGTGTTCCCGCAGCCCATCCAGGGCCCGCAGCGGCTCGGGGAGCCCTCACTAGGGGGCTGGCAGGCTGGAGGGCAGGGCTGGGAGGTCGTGGCCCACCCGGGGGGCTGCAGAGGAGGCGGGGACAGAGAAGCCACTCATCCCCGGAACCAGCAGCACTTGTGTGTGCCCAAGTGAAGGAAGGGAGACCCGAGCTCCGCTGGGGCGGGGTCCCGGGGCTCCACAGCCGCCGCCCGGCCTTCCCCGCGGACGGTACCTGAAGGAACAGCTCGTAAAGAATCTCTTCCCGTACTCGGGCCTCTAAATTGCCCACAAACACGGTCCTGTCAGCCTCCTCCTGAGCCGGGAACATCCCTGCGGTCCCCGCAGCCAGGGAGAGGTGGGGGGGGG